AGGGAAATTTAATAAGGACGGGGCGGATGCTGGCTTGTGGCTGGGGGCGGGATGAAGGGGCGTGGTACCTCTATTTACAGCACTGGGAGAAAGCCACTCCCAGTGCTGACTTTGTTTCAGAGTGAATAAACTGCTCCTGAAAGCACATCGTACCTGCGTCTTGGGTTATTCCCAGTCGTCAACGGACGGTCGTGACAACGTTGTTCACAGTTGTTTTTAGTTAGTGCTTTTGGACTTTGGATGCCGGTAGCTTGGGCTAGTCATTGGAGTGCAGCTAGCCTTTCTTCTGTCGGTTTGGAGGGCTTCCCCCAGATCAAACGGATCGACCGCCATTTTTACGTGATTGATGGGGGGGCTCTCCTTCTTCGTCGCCTCTCCGGGGCGACTTTAAACCCATTTAGGGTCCCCTGGCAGGACGAAACCAGCCGTGGGGTCCAGAGCCCCACAATCCCTCAGCTGTGTTGCTACGATGCAAAACCAGAACTCTCATTTTACTCAGTTTAACTAGGTCTATTATAATACTATATTTTAACTAGAGCAACATACTTGTAACAAACATTGAGCAAAATCATTGTTCCTTAATATAAATAATCTCAAGACAAAAGAAGTAGACATGATAGCTAGCTCATTGTGCAGGTTGAATCATGTTTGTACATGAATCCAATCTCTGCTTGAAAAGCAATTCCTGTTTTAGATCAGAGTATGAAGTTTAAGTCTCTATTTCCTGTATTCCGTTAAATATTAGTTTAATTTTTATACTGTAGTATTATGTTTACATAGATTATCTACATAATGATATCCTGCCATAAAACTGTTCAAATCATCCTGATACTTTCAGCTATGCATGTGGTGAGCTAACAGTTAAAACTCAGAAGCGAAATTACATCCCACCTGTCAAAAATGCTATGAACTTTATTTTGGTTGTAAAGTGACTGATTAAGATAAGAATTGAGCCCACACAATTACTGTGTGACATGTTAGATTTCTAACAAGATAGTTAAATGGTACATGCTATAAGCCATTTGCCTTTCTTAGGTTTTGGAGAGAGCCAAAAGACCATTCATTACATTGTAATTTCTGTCTAACAAGTACAATGGGAATCACTCTAAAAGTAAACACATTATGAAATACTCTGATTTACCATGTGCAATGAGATCAATCCTACACAGTAAGCAGTTGCCTGTACTACATCCTCCAGATGTTTAGTGCAATTAATCTACTGATAATGATAATGCATACACAGGGCATATAAGGGAAAATATTAATTCAAGAATTCAACATTTCAAGTCAGCCGCATTTGTTGACCTAAGTGGATTTTAATGATCTTGTGTGATTTGAACTTGTCAGAGAAGCAGGGTAGGTTCAAGAGTAAAGGAATATAATCTTCTCGGTTATGATATGAAAGGGTTTTTGTTGTTGTTTCTGCAGTTGCCATGATGAATTTAAGAAGAACATGGACTAGTGTTTTGTGAAGAAGTTTGTTCAGTTATGTGTTCTTGGTCATGAACACAGTGTAAATAAGTGGCACTTGTTCAGTAACTCCACAAAAGCTAGTTCATGAAAAAAAAACATTCTTCATAATTTTATTTATTTTAATATCAAATTTAGAGATTGCCCATCTCACCCCCGCAGAGCGACTGGAATAATGGAAATAAATTACTGACAGGTAATGTTGTATGACAGGTAAATGATAGGTAAAGGCAGTGCCAATGCTGCTAGGGTGAAAGAATTATATCAGAACATGAACCTACTTTTGGGAAAGATCCAGTATGAAAAATATAAATTGAACATTGGTGAAGATTTTAAGGTCATTACAAATCTGCAGCTTGAATACACAAAACACTTTTGCATTTTATTAGAGTAGGACAGTAGGAACAAGAAAACACATTACAATCAGAATGACTACCCAAAAATGATCAGGAAAAAAGAATGTGATAAACAGTCTGCTTGCTGACTATGAATATGGCCTTTCATATATCATTTTAAAACTAACCCTAGACTACCAAAATTTTGAAATGCACTGGAAGTTCCTTAAGTAGGAAAGATTCTGTATTTCCTAAATTTACCTCCCAAACTATCCCCACAGAAGGTAATCGTATAGTGGGAAAATACCAAAAAAGGACTCTTGATATGACATGTGGTAAAAGTAGACTGTTCCCCAAATCTTCCCTATATAAGCTCTGAGTAGCTTTGTTCAGAAGTTGCTCATTTTCCAGATAATGCAAACACAATTCCTCACTGTTGGGGTAGAAGTGGAGGGGTGAGGGAGAGGTAAGGTAAGTGTGGTTTGGTCATAAAATACAAGCAGCTACTCTAAGTATACCCTCTGAAGCATACTAATGGTTCAGACACAAAGGACTCTGTCTTGCAGATGAAAAGCTTATTATAAAGAGAAGAGCAGCTTCCTCCCTGCAGCCTTCTATGTCCCTGAAATAAACACATTTTTACTATCACCAATCTGCTTTTTCACCAGCAAGTTCTTTGAATTTCTGGTTCAGCATACATCAGAGTATTTGACTGCTGAGTAATTAGCAAGCACCATGGAGTCTGGCAGAAATCCATCTTTGTCCTATTCATCTTTTTCACTTGCAGCGGAATAAATTCATAGCTCTGGACTTGTTCTACCCTACAAGTGTCTGCCCTGCAGTGCGCTGTCAGAGGAGTGAAACTATGAATGTGGCTGCTGTAATGCTAACATGGTTGCAACAAGACTCATGTTGTTGGAGGATCATCTTCATTATCACCTCCCCCTTTAAAGGAATTGTTTTCATCCATCCACCCATGTTGTTCTTCTGCAATGAACACTCCTCCCTCCCACCAAACTGCCTTTAGCTGAAATCCATAATCTAAATACTGTAAATGTTTTTACTGACCTCTCTCTAAAGTCAGAGGAGCATTTGGTCCAACCAGCATAGCTACAGCTCCAGCTCCACCAGTTGGTCTTGCATTTCCAGTTGCATACACAGCAATATCACCACAAACCACCAAGGCGTAGCGTCCTGGCATGACAAGAGCATCACCAAAGTGTCAACACTGATGAAAAGAAAAATAGATAAAGTCTACCTAATTTTCTTCATAAAATGGGCTGAAGTTCTTTTGTAGCTTCAATTCCTGTTCCAGTAGCTGTTATCTATTCAAGAACATATGTACCTAAGCCAATGCTTTTGAATAGTATTGACTTTAAGATGTGTTCAGCTCTGGGATTCTTGGAATTGAAGTCCACCCATCTTAAATTTGCTGAAACACTGGCCTAAGCCAAAAAAGAGAGGCCCCTACCAGGGGTGTCAAACTGGAGGCCCATGGGCCAGATGCATCATACACAGGCCACATCCACCCCAGCTCTACAAAGGCAAAAAATGTTGTGATACGTCATGATATGTCACATGATGCGATCAAGTTTGACACCCATGCCCTACACCAAGGACCTCTGTTTTGACATCAAAGAGTCAATAGAAGTACAGAAAAGATAAGCAAAAATTTACAAGACAGATGAAACAGGTGGTTGAATTCAGTTTACATATGGTGAGAATTAAGATTTAATGAATGGAATACACGGTAGAGAGGTTTGAAAGGAAGGACCTAGATCAAAAATACATGTTATAATATGTTAGGGTTTCCCCCTCCCCTAAAAATTGTCCTTTCAGCTGAAAGATGTGGCAGTGGAAGTTGCAGCCTGATTTGGGAAACCTGAGTGGGGAAGGAATACTTTTCAACCATTCCCTGTTGGTAAAATCACAACAGCACTATCAGTCATAAAACTTGTAACAGGGGTAGATATAGCTTGCATAGCTAAATTTTGTGCTTTAAAAAAAGACCTCAAGAGGCATCCCCCAACTCAATATTATGGTGGCACACAATGACATCTTCTGAAATTGTGGCTCCTTTAACAATCACTAGCCATTTCCTACCGGTAGTAATATTCCTGACAGCCTCGTGGAAGGAGGCAGCCACAGCCTTTACTGCCCTTTCTCTAGCTGCTGTCCAATAGTCCCCCTCAATGAACTCTGGGTAGAGGCCAAGTGTCTAAGCAAGGACAAAATGACTATTTTAAAGTCACTAGGGAGTCCCAAACCTCCCCAGCCTACTCTCTGAACTTTATCATAGCAGTGGTAGAACTATTCTTCCTAAGTTGGTTGAAATGGAGTTGAATTTTCCAAGGGCCACAGAATTAACATCTCACAGAGACTAAAGTCCAGGCTTTTATTTAATGTTCTACACTTCTTTTGATAAGCAGTCAGGCAGATTCTAAGCAGGCAGAGCTCTAGAACCAAAGGGCAGAACTTATTATATCATGATTCAAAGATTAATGGAAAACTACTAATGTGCACTTTTGAAATCTGGAAATCTGCATTGCAATCAGTATGGGTTTTGAAATAAGAAAAGAGCTTCTATGCAGAATTTTCTCGGCAAAAATAATTGTACTACAACTGAGAAAAGCAGGATTTAATTACCTACACATTTCCTTTTTTTAAGGGGGTGGTCAACTGTCTCAAAATGTAATCCATAATATGTTTATTCAAAGGTCAGATTCAGCAAACTTTATGGGATTTCCTTTTGGGGGCTGTAGACTAACAACTAAAGTATAGGAAACTCAGGATATATTGAAGCCTCTATATTTTCTCCCATGTGGCAAATAGCATTGGGGTCATCCCACATTGGTGGTTCAGTTAACGGGCAGCATTAGTTCATTAGTTAGTGGACAACATTAGGACTTCTTCGTTTACTGACATAATAGCAAAGGACAGTGACACAAGGAATGCATCTCATACTGTAATCTCTTATTTGCTCTATTTCATTTCCTCCAGAGTGAGCTCTGCTTCTTTGCAGAAGTAGCTGAGAGGGGATCTTCATGTACTTTCTGTTTTGTTACATCATTCTTGCTCTTGGGACATGGTCAATGATTACAAATGGCCTGTCATCATGCTCTTTTGCCTCTTCTTTGCAATTTTTTTCTTTGCTATCCTAGAATTTGTGCATGGACTTTGAATCGACTATTTTTCATAAGCTCAAGGGGAGCGGGGAATAATGGAAGGTATATCTGATGACTCCCCTACCTCTTCCTCTTCTTTCTCTACAATGAATGTACTACAGCTAATTCTTTGCAACCCCAGGATCATTTTCTGTCTCTGTCAGTACCAGACATATATCAACATACATTAACAAACTGGACAAAAAAAATAGCATTGTGTCTGGGTAAAATTAAATTATTAATGCAATGTAAGGAAGAACTGAAAAGTTCAGAAAACTAGGCTGAATGGAAAAAGGAGAGAATTGAGAGTAAGAAAAACACTGAAAAAAACAAAACTGGGTTTTGAAGCATGATAGATTAAGAGTTGATAATAGATTAAATGGAAAAGGAAAATCAGAAAACTGGAGAATATTAGAAACATTAAAGCAAAGTTGCTTCTGTAACAAGAGACATTTTGTCTCCAGTATTATTTTGTTATTGCTATGCAGTAATGACTTATATGTTGAGAAAATTCTGAAAGTATTCCACTTTCTATCTGCTGCTAAAAGAGTATAGGTTGTGACTACATTATGCTGAATTTATAGTGTTAGTAGCCAACAGCTTAGTAGAATCAAAGGATCAGCTTCCTTACCTCTGAAATTTAACCAATTAAACAACTTGAATAGTTACTCTTTTTTCAGAATGTGCACTTAAGGCACATTAAGTGCACCAATGATGACGAACCTTTTAGAGACCGAGTGCCCAAACTGCAACCCAAAACCCACTTATTTATCGCCGGGTTCCAGGTGGGCGTGGCCCACTGGATGGGCATGGCTGTGGTGGTCATGGCAGATTGGGTGGGCGTGGCCAAGGTGGGCATAATCACCTCAATGTTGCTCATGGGGAGGGACGCCTGTGGGGGCCGGGCAGGGTTGGGGGAGATCCAGGGGTCTCTGGCAGGTGGGGCGGTGGGCAGGAGGCTCATCTTGTGGGGAGAGGAGAGGCAAGGTGAGGCAGGGAGGGGGTGCTATTGTCACAGGGCAAGGTGAGGCAGGGGCCGGGGCGGCAGCTGCCTGACACCATCGGCCCCTGCACACAGAGGCCAGCGAGCGCATGGGTCCTGGGACGCACCCAGCCACGTGGGACCTCAGTGAGTTAGCCGGCAGCTGGTTGAAGAGGGACGATTGCCATCTTCGGGGCATGGCACGTGTGCCCACAGAGAGGGCTCTGAGTGCCGCCTCTGGCACGCGTGCCATAGGTTCGCCACCACTGGGCTATACCATTGTTTTTTAACCTCAATAGCTTTAAGGTGGGTAGACTCCAATTCCCAGATTTGTAGGAGTTGGAGTCCACCCATCTTAAAGTTGCTGAAGTTAAGAAACCGTAGACTCTCCAACTAAAAGAACTGAACTCAGTCTGCCAACACTTACCATCCCAGGAGCTGGATTCCACCCAATCAGCAGAGTTGAATAGAGAAGCTGTACCTCCATAACAGGCATTGGTTGTGTCAATGCCCTCAATGTCTGTGTTCCCTGAATCCTGAAAGAGCTGCATCAGAACAGTTTTAACAGCTTTGGATTTGTCAATAATAGTTTCTGTTCCAACTTCCAGGCGGCCAATAGAATCCCAGGAAAGTTTGTTTCTTTCTACCAGATTCTGTACCACAGTCAGGCACAAGGAATTGATGTCTTCATGTGTAGCACAGAAACCCATCTGCTTCTGGCCTAGGCCTATGGTATATTTCCCTGATTCTACCTCATCATATTTCTCTAACTCACTTTGTTCTATATATTGGAATGGGAAATATACCTCCAGAGCAAGGATACCCACATCCTTAGGCCATGGAGAGATTGTCTGGAGTGGTTGTATAGAATCTGTGGAGAAACTGCAAGACAAGTAGAGAGGAAAGGTTTTTCACAATACACATTTAGATATAATTCTGGTTTCTACACTATTAGGAGGGATACCTTACAAAACAAACATGTTTCAGACTGATGTAGGTAAGGATCTTGCTTGCCTTATGAATATCCCACAATTAAATAACAAGAACAGGTATATTTATACTCAGGGAAAAGGAATATTCACAATCTCTTGTTTGCTAGGTAAATTTACTATAATTAAACCCCACTGTGTAAATAGCTGTTGCTCCACATTTAGGCATTACTGTACAATCTGAGAAGCAACTTACTGAAGTGCTTATTTTCTCACTCCATCTCCAATATCCCTGTGAAGCTTTGGAAAAGTGAAGTACCTTTCAATCAACAATGACATAAAGGTGCTTGCGGCTGCAGTGGCAGCCTTCAGATAAGACTACTGCTGCATTCAAATAAATAAATGTGGAAATTCCTAGTGCTATAGAGGGCTCATTCAATGATAGATATATTGCAGGCATCCCCAATTCTGTGAGATGTGTATAAACAAATCTGATTTATATAAACAAATAAAAGAAGGTCCTATTTATGGTAGTGATGATTTGCTTCTATACTTAAGTTCCAATGAATTTTGTTTCAATTTTTCTGTCACTGAAGGGAATTAGATACGTCTCTACCAAAAAACATTTTGATATTCACCCTGATATTCAGGTGCTGCCTTTTGAGACAAGCTCTTGAAATAGCCTCCTTTTATTTTTTACAGTTATATTGTCTTTCTCTTAAAAAGGGCTTTGAGAACTGGTGAGAACTAGTTCTATAATTTCTGTTTTGTTATATTGTCACTGATCATATTGTTGTAGCAATACTTTACAGATTTGACTTTATAGATGTTAGTTTTTTGCAAACTTGTATTAAGAGAAAAATAGAAACATTTATTTTAAATACGGATGAACAAATGAGATATTTGAATAGTATCTAAGTTTTTCTTTGCCCTTTAGCATTTGGGTGAACTGTAGAATTAAGACTTTTACTGTGTTTAGATCTATAGCATCTTAAAAACAGATGCATTCCAATAGCCGACAGGATACTTACTGATCCTAATCCTAACATATTGTTATCAAGAGGTTAATGTTTAATACAAAGACCTTTGATTACATTTACACAAGATCAACATTGCTGGACAGCACTAGGGGTCGGGTCCAAAGGGTAAGTATGTGCATGTATTACTTAAGTTATTGCCCCTTAGAATACAAAAAGAGTATTCTAAAAATCCAGTCTCCTTGTTTTCATTCTGATTTTTTCTTCCTATTGTCATAGAGATACAGCTAGTCCTCAATGTACAACCAAAACTGTGCCTAAAATTTCTATTGTTAAGCAAGGCAATTGTTAAGTGAGATTTGCCCCATTTTACCACCTTTCTTGCCACAGTTGTTAAATGAATCACTGCCATTGATAAGTTAGTAACCTGGTTGTTAAAAGAATCTGGCTTCCCCATTGACTTTGCTTGTCAGAAGGTTTCAACAAGTATGAACCAGTTGCCAAGCATCTGAACTTTAATCACAGGATCATGAGAATGCTTCAAAGGTCATAACTATGAAAAATAGTCATAAGTCACTTTTCAGTGCTGTTGTAACTTTGAATGGTCACTAAATGAACTATTGTAAGTCAAAGACTATCTGTAATGCTAATTTTAATTTGGATTACTTTATTATAAATATAAAATTAGCTTTTTTTAAAAAAAAGTGGACAACAAAGTAAATAATAGTGTTTTCCTATTTAAAGGAATAAAGTCTGCATCAGTATACTTGTCAGAATCCAATCATATTTCATATCAAGTTATCAACTATGAAAAACTCCATCCCTGCCC